ATGCAGTTGCAGTAAAACTTTACTATAACAAAAACTTCAGTTATAATTTTTAACGATGCTTCACAATCGTAAAGAGATAAATTCTGTAGGTGGTTGGTGGGTGCTTTGATCTGGTCTGCTCCTTCATCCCATTTCAACACCTATCGTCCTCATATCCCCTCCTTCTTTTTGTGTTTGTTACCTAGCGGTAATGTGTACCTGACTTTGAGTTGGGGAAATAAAGGCGGCGTGGAAAATAACTGGCCACCCTACCATAGTATGCCGAAAGCCCAGGAAGTTGTCTCACTAACAATGCGATCCCCAATATCCGGATCGGATGCAGGAACAACGTTACTTTTACTCTCTTGTAATACTTCTTATTTTCGACACTTATATGACCTGTTGTGTTGCAATTGCCGTAAAACACTATAGATAGACAAAAAACCCAACTTGAATGTGGTGCAAGGAGGAAGGGGGATATTTCAAAGTGTTGGCTTATCAGCTTGACCGGAGTCTGTGGTGTGGCGATTAGGCTCTTCCTTTTTTAGTTTTTATAAGTGTTTTACGGCACTTGCAACACAATAAAGTTATAATGTTATAAGTGCCAAAGAGTAGAGGTGTTACAAGAGAGTGACAAGCATTAAAAAAAAGGAGGACAGACAAGGACAATAGATGTTTGATAGAAAAGAAGAAGCATGCAACAGCAGAGCACCCGCAGACCACACATTTAGGCTCTTCGATGTTGCACGTAGGAAATCAGAGGTCGATTCCCGAGTGGTAAGAAATTGTGAGGCATCGTGGTGAAATCAGACGCTCGTGAAAATAATGAAAGTAATGAAACTTACACTTACACTTTTCCACTGATTTGGCAATATTTACAGAAAATTGTTCTTTTTTTTTTTAGCCCAACATCTTTTATGTCCATTTAAGAACCCATTTCAGAGTAAATTATATTGGAAAACGTTGATTAAAGGCATAAAAATGTAACTTTTTAGATTCCACGGTCTCTCAGGCTTTGTAAATAGCTCATCTTTGGAGGCCATTTTCTCATAATTTTACCTCTGAAACCTGGCATCCCCACCTCATTAAATCGCAAATGTCTCGACATGTACTCAAGATAAATGGGTAATTGTTTCACCGAGAGCAAGGCAAACAAACAAGCTTTAAGATGATACCAATAACTCCGAATGGCAAAAAATCGACGAGCTCCTGATTCCACAGCGCTGTGATACAATTTTAATCGAGTATCTCAGTTCTTCTGCTGGGGTGTTATTTATCCCTCTCAGCCAGACTTGACCCTGGCATGCAGGCAGGTAGGCAGGCAGACAGGCAGGCAGGATCAGAAGCCCGCCTCATAGATGGTAAAATAAACTTCTTTTATATCTTTCTTTCTTTGTTTTTGGAGGTACGCAGCGACAGATATGTACCTCCAAAAACAAAGAAAGAAAGATTTAAAAGAAGTTCTTTTTACCATCTAGGTTAAGGCTTTTGTCAGAATGAGTATAGATAGGTGCTGCTCTTTAGAGTATGTATCTATATAACCCCAAATGTCTTGTATTTAGATTCCTGCATGTGGTTGAATGATGCATCTGATGTGAATGTACATTTTGTCAGCTTTACTTCTCTTTCATATTGAATTTTAATGGGAGTAATATATATAATATGATTACATTTTTAAAAATGTATACCTGCATGTGTTTTTACGGTCCTGTACAGCCAAGAAATATTTCCTATTGGGACAACGAAGTATTATCTTATCTTATCTTATCTCAAATTGAGATCAGAATGCTGTTGAATCGAGCGTAGAAACACCTGCAACTAAAAATAAAAATAATAATTTCAACCGCTTGAACTTATGCCATTGACTTCTTGAACTATCTCCGCCAAAAGCAAATGTTGTGTTTAGTTTGCTTATTTTTCGGATGTGTGTGTATGTGTGTGTATGTGTGTGTGTGTGTGTGTGTGTGTGTGTATGTGTGTGTATGTGTTTTTGTGTGCGTGTGTGTGTGTGTGTGT